TGAAACTATGAAGACTGGGTTGTTTCAGATAAAGAGCCACTAGGAAGCCAGCGTATGTGCTAGGCAAGCTTTCAAGGTAATTGGACTGGTTCTACACATCGGCAGATTTTTTTAATGCTATCACCTATCAAAGTTCTACAAAACTGTGCTGAGGCAATATAATGACTTAATCTTCCACATTTTGTAAATCTTAGGTCTCTCAGTCACAAAATCTGAAAAAAATAATTAAAAAAACATCACTCTCTGTACTATCTACAGTTAATTCTCAGCAGCTTGTTACATTTCTGCCCATTACTGGGGCTCAGCAGACAGATGGCATCTCATCACTTCTCAGCCTCTGTCCACGTTTTTGGCTGTCCACTCTGGAGGACATAGTCCATGAGCTTTCCCAGCTTCAACCAAGCTGTCATCATGAGCTGCCTCACAGACAAATGCACATTCTAAGCTCATGAACACAGGATTTCCTGAACTATATCAGAGCAGGAACTCATCAAGACAATAACTAGCAGCAAAAGCATTAAAAAAAATAATAATAACATACTATTATTTAGCTACATGATAGCTTTTCCAGACAGTTTCTCTCTAGCCCCAAATAAGTATGCATTTCCTCATAAGAAGGTTCATGACCTCTCCCACAAACCTCCTTTATGAGAAGTCATTGATGCTCCATGTTGAGAAGTAGGCCCTTAAAACCTGGTAATGAGGTGTGGAGACCCTATGGTATAAATATGCTTTCTGCTTTGAACATCTGCCACATGCCCACACTCACATTAATTAGATAATAGCTATCAAGTTGTATGACAGAACTAGTCCTTCCAACAGTATTCAAATCCCACTGCTTCTCAAAAAAGAAAAAGAAAAAAAAAAGGCTGGGAAGGGGAAGGGAGGGAAATAACTCTCTCCAACGTCTGTACTATGGAGAACCTACGTTATCTATTCAGTGCTTTCTTGCAAATAAATATCATCAGCCCTTACTTTCATTTGAGCAGATTAAATTCCAGTTCAAGACAGAGCAAGACTTCAGGAGACAACAAAGAACCTTTCTGGTCCTCTCCGTGACACTTAAGGAACATAAGGTTGGGACCCTTGCATTTCAATTTTGAGAAAGAACAACACAAAAACCATATTGGACAAGCAAGAACTTCAATCTAACTGGGATGCAAAAAGAGCATGATCTAGGTAAGCAGAGAGCAAGCAAAGGAAGTGAAAGACAGACATAAGGAGCCCAGGAAGGCAGACACATACAGTAGAGAGAGAAAGATCCTATGGGAAGCATTCCAGAAAGCTCTGGGGTAGCCGAGAAAGCAAGCTCAGACTGACAGCAGAGCCAGAAGGAAAGACCACACACAAGCCAAAAGCTCAAGTAGAAGGAAAATGTGTGTACATATGTGCGTGTGCAGTGGTGTCTGCACATAAAATTTATATACATATAAAAATATATTTTTTTAAATAGGACCTTTCTCTCCCAGGTTATATCCAAAGGATAGGAAAAGGCCACCTTTCCAGTTTTTCCCCTCGGCGGGAGACAGTCAGGTAGCCACATCTGCCTCAGAAGGGTTATGGAAGCTCATGAACAAGCGAATGCTATACACACATCAGACGGAGCACCACCAAACTGAACAAGCGACAGTGCTTCTGCACACCGACCGGCACGGAGACGCACCTTGCGGAACAGGACAGGCTGTTCTCAGTATTGTTTACTAGGTTTCCTGAACACTGGAGGCAGCCAAAACCTTGTGGAAGTAGCTGCTTATACACTACCCTTCTGCGTGTTTTCCTCATGAGCTGCAATTATGATATATCCCATCTTCTGGGTGCTCAGCTTGGGCCTTTCTAGTTTTCTAGGTATTGAAATACCTATATTAAGTGAGATGAAGGGAGGGAAGCTAGGTTTCAAATACTCAGATACAAAAACTCTCATTTTTTGTGGCGGCGGATTCCATTAATTACGTTACTTTAACATCTAAATGACAACTTTAAAATTCCTAGGCTGTCGTCTTTAGGAGGCAAGCCAAAAAGTGAAATATGAATCAGTAGCTCGGATTTCAATTAAATTTGAATTTGACATCTTTAACAGATCTTATGAATCACCGCTTCATAACATAAGGGGGAAAAAAAAAAAAAAAAAAGCGCTCTCCGGTTTCCTTCCTACCTAAGCTACATCTCAGTAGAACTTGCCAAGTGACCAAATTCAACTTCTCAAACAGCAAATACTGCCTAAGACAAATGTAGTGGGATAGCCCATTTTGCCCAAGGGATTTAGCTTGCTTATTGCAAAAGAACACACTATGCACAAGACACTAATTTTTTCCCCTCTTGCATTAGCATTTATTAGTTTAGGTATAGGATGAGGCATATTTTGTCACTTGAACATGAAACATTCAGTAATGCATTTAAAGAAACAACCTCCATAAGCAGTTACCATTCAGTCCCTAATCCTAGCACAAGAAACTTGCTCGCGTGATCCCCAGTTAATCTCTCCTTGTTGCACATATTTGGAGAAAGAAGGGATAAGCGCCTGCAGTTCAATACACAGTAGGCAGATTTAACTGTCTAGGGCTGTTAATTTCAGACAGAAAAGTACTACGTTAGGAAAAGGGAGGATTTATATAAAATATTTATAAAGACAATAGAAAATAAAAGTAAAATTCCTCTCACCCCCCCCGCACCCCCCTATGTAAAGTTGGAGTGCAAACAATTTAAAACACTAGCTGGAAAAGCAAGTCACCCTGTTTGAAGTAGTGTTTTGACATGGTAAGACCTTAACTTAGACAAAGATTCTAGCAGATTTTTAATGAGAAAAGGATTTAAAGAAGAAACACAGAAAATTAAAACTGTAGATTTGTTTTGGATTTCAATCATTATGAAAAGGTAAGCTGGAGTGTTAACACTTACACCTGTCAAGATCGGAGTTTTTGAGGTTTTATTTCAACACAAATATAATCGCAGGAATTTATTTTAATGTCCTACTATTGGTATTAGTCAAATAATGCTTCTGTCCATATCTGGAAATATGGACTCATTTTATTTCAAAGAATTCTTAGTAACAGGGTTTGTACCCATAATAGTCTAAGGATGCAAATTGATTCCTATGAAAAGAGGGGGAAAAAAAAAAAAAAGAGGGAGAAAAGGAAAACAAACAAACAAAAGGTACAAAAGTACCAAAGCTTTAGTATCAAAGTTACTACAATTGCCAGTTTTGGTATTACAGGTGCCACACCAAATCTTGCTCTTTTCAAGCAAGAACTATCATTCCTATTTGTGAAGGGTCAGAATCAGCAGATCCTAAACTCTTCTACTGGTGCACAACAGTTTTAGGCTCCGACAGGAAGAAAAATACCACTATAAACAAAACAAAATAAACAACCAGCAAACCAAAAAACTGTGCTTTCCTCAGTTAAATCTTGTTCTGTTGCTCTCCATTACGATTACTTCACTTTTCTGAGATAAGAAAAGCCAACGCAAAGACAGTAAACCTCAACTTACATGCAAGATATTGTTACCTCACGGCTAAGCTTACAATTTATTTATTTTAAAACGGAAATCTGTCTGAAACAAGAGGTTTGCTGATATCAAACTATTCAAGGATTCAGCCTGCCTTATTTATGCTATTTTAACTAAACCCATATCTTCCTGGGGGAAATATATATATGTACACACACATATATCCACAACAGATTCTCTTTGCAAAGAGTTTAAAAAAAAAAAATACGATCAGCTGTCATGCCAATAGAAATTCTGCTGAGCTACTACACACATTCATAAGGAATAAAAAAGGATCAGCTATATTCCAGGTTACTTAAGAACCCACATATATGTGTGGGTTCTCATGCTCATATACCCTACTGTACCCACGCTCATATACCCTACTGTCCACAGCTACAGCCAAACAAGAGGCAGGCATTAGACATACCTCTCCTCTGCCTGCAACTGAAAAAGCAAGGCATCTGTATCCCTTCAGCAACAGACATCACGGCAGAGGAAGAACATGCTTCTGCCAGCCACATTATTCTTACAAGATGCCCGAGTTTAAATTCCATAGGTTGAAAAAAATCTTTTATTGTCACAAGGAGACCATGACAGATGGCATCAGATCAAAGCCATTTATCTCAATAGATAGGAAGTTAACTTTAAATATGGTCAGAATCCTTAAGTATATTTAGCTTTGCACGTATTTTTAAATATTGGCTTAAAGCGGATTAATTAAGCATGTTCACCCTGCCTTCCCCTCCCCATGTTCCTAGACAGTTTTGGATGTAAGCATTAATCACAGCATCACAAAGATCTGAGATCAAACCTTTGATGGTTGCTCAAAACAGTTCTGAAAACATACCACGACCATTTCAGGGTAACTGGATACACCTGCACCAACTCATTTCAAGTTCACCCATGAGCAGTATAAACAATCGGACACCAAGATGTGTGTAGCAGCATAAATATACATGGCCTAATACAAGCCAAGACAAGAAACAGGAAAACTGAAAAATACTAGCATTAAAGTAACCCTATATCATGTAAATGCAAATAAGATACCAATTCATGCATTAACATGAGTAAGCATACAAGTACATTAAGTTTTTAATAGTTTTTCCTACTCCTTTTCTATCCCTTTATTATTAAAATCCCCTGCATTTATCCGTGGTTCAGTTAATTGCAACAACAGCCGATAAAGATGATTTTTCACTGCTTTAAAACTAAAGATGCAAAAGTAGCTATGAGAGACTGTTCACCCTCAGAATGCTTTTAGCCTTCATCAGCAAATATCAAGACACACTTAAGCACTTAAGAATCAGTTTCTTCCACTCTTAAACCTAAAAGTTTTGAAGACCAAGCTTCCTGAAAGCATGTCTTCCATGAACCATACATCCATCTCCTGAAGAGTACAAGGTTACAAGTATCTGAAACTATCTAAACGACTATGAAATTTTAACTTGACCCTAGACTCTGACTAAGTGCACAGAGAAGATACAAACTGAAAATGACTGAAGACAAGTGCTTACCTTCAATCCTTTTTAAGGCTGACAGGCAAGTATCTCGGCTTGGAAATTCAAATGGATTATTACAGGTCCGAATGGTGTCACATTCGCATTTCCCGTTAATTATGTTACAACCTGTTATAAGGTTTTCATTGCATGGTTCAAATCCGAGAAGCTGATCATCATCCCAGTTTTCATCTAAAACAAATAAATAAGTAAAAGTCACTACTGCAATTCTGTTTTGGTATAACTTCACCTGCTTTGGAGTTGAGCACATTTTATTTCAAATTCAGCATTCTGTGAAGCAGAAGGTAATGGATTAAGCTGAACTATGGGATTTGCCAGTTACCATATTTTGCAGCTATTCTATTGCCCTTTTTGCTGTACTTACTGGCACTGTTTATTTCAATCTGTATAGAAAATTATTATCCTTTCAGGAAAAAAAGCATAGCTGTAGTACAAATGAGTGCTATCCTAACTGCAATAACTTTTGCAGACACCTGAAGTGAGCAGCAAAGTGAGAACACTGGGGAGAACCTGTGACTGCTACAGTAGTTGGCAAACAGGGATATTTAAACCAGTTTAAAAACAAGTCACATAAAGCTTTATCTCTGTGGAGTGAATGTTATTTAAAAACAAAGAAACAAAACTGTAGTCCTTCGGTTCCATAGTCTTTCAAGGCACCTGCATTCCCATTATTGTTCCAGCAGAATTGCTCATGCTCATCGTGCTCCTTGCTATCAAGGGGCAGGGGGCTAAGAGAGGGAAAACACATCTCTTTACTCAAATAATTTTACTGCTTGTAAACCAACAGTTCAGAACAAAAGTACCACTCTCTATACCCCAACTGTGTAAATTTCCAATCATTTTGCTTGTCAGAAAGAATATACACAACAATATCCCAGATAAATCCTGTCTATCCAGAGTTCTACTACATGCTTCACAAAATGTTACTTTCAACAGGCAATATCCAAGTCACTCAGGAATTTAAGGAAGGTGCACACTTTCTATGCATGATCATAAAAAAGTGAGTTAGACTTTAGGCACTATTCTCTATACAGCATGAGATCATTCTCCTACCTGATCAGTCTACCCGAACAAGTGCCATGAAATAACTACAGAAGTACTTAACTGACTGCTACTAATGACAAAAGGAATAAGTCTTCATTTTTAGTCTTCACATCTACCTACTTCACAACTGCTTTCGTTTGGGCTGCCAGTAGTTTATCCCAAACTTCTAAATCATCAACAAAAATTTTCCAATAATGAGCTTGTCAGGAAGAAACTTCAGAAAAAAAAAAACTAAACATCTTCCAGCTATAAACGCTTATTTTCTTCTTTTTGTTTAAAAAGGAAAGTGGATGAAGTATAAAGCCTACAAACACTCCCTACTTACAAGTAAGATGTAAGGCTGCTAATACTGAAATACAGAATTATAAGGGAGGAGGGCAAAACCCAAAAGCCTACAATACTAATGAAAGGATCTTTCAAGGATACGTAGGGAAGCTACTCTAAGAAAGGAGGAGCAAGTGGAGACCTTGCCTAAGTGGGTGGGTTGTGCAGTAACAAGCGCCTCGCACAGATGGATATGTTGGGATATTTCCATTCAGAATGTATTAAATCCAAACTTCTGGCGCAGAAAGAAGGCAGAATCCCAGAAGCACCACACTCACTCACTCACGCATGCAGGCACACCAAGAGGGTTGGTCATCCAAGGTTTCCAGCTGTAAGGCAGAGCTACTTCTGAATCGCACACCGAGTACTTGGAAATCCCACTAGCTGGATATATTGACCCAGGTAGTGCTAATGGGGATAGAAACATTAATTAATTTGAGCACTGTTCAAACAAAAGACAGATCTCCAGCCAAATCCTGTCCCAAAACAGTCCTATCGGTACGAAGAAATGAAGAAAGGTTAACAGATTAACAGGCTTCTTTGAGCAGGGTTTTAATCTGACGAATATGGTACCTTTACGGTATGTCTTTGGGATATGAGAAGCCAAACTACAGTAGGAGAGGACACAGCCAAATAAAAACAACTGTATCACTTAGTAGACTGTCACTGAGCAGAAGGCTGATCGTAGATGACTATACCAATATATGTAATTATACATGCTGAAGTCCAGGTTGAGATACCTTCCACCCACAGAAACAGGCAGAATATATCAGTTAACCTGCGGTAGTTATCAGTTATCTGAGTAAGGAGAAGGAGGAACCACACATCATAGAGCCATTTACTAGTTAAGTACTATATGTAATCTAGAGGAAGTGTCATATTAGATTCTCACAGGTATCTTTCTCTCTGGCTACCAATTATTTTGATTTTGTTGGAAGCAAAGTGCCTTGTCTGCATATCATTAAATATCTCTCAGAGCAAGAATACATTGACAAAAGCACTGAGCAAATGCCGATGTCAATTTTAGACACGAGGCTGCCATGGGAACATTATGGCTTTTTTTTGTTAGTCCATAAATATAGCAAAGAAACAGTAGTCATTAATTCCAAGGGCCAATTTGTATATTTCCCACACTCTTCTTTTTTTTCCCAACCCAATTACAGTATCACCCCTTACCGCTATCATATCAATAAACTCTCAGCAGAGGCGTAGAGCTTCCTGAACAGAAACCTTTCTCCCTCTCCCTGCTTTAAGAGAAGGTAAGATGCAGCCCCAGCAACATTCAAGAAACTTTTTAGTTGTGAAGGGGGAAACATGCACAGGGGAAAAGTCAAGAGAATTTTAATGATAATACAACCCAATTTTGAGGAGTCAGAATATTGTAAGGATAATTTGTATTTTACAAATCTTCACAATAATTTATATAACAACAAGAACAAAGAGACTTTGTTAGCTATAGCCCAAAATTAAAAGTGTTTCAAATTTTCTTATCACAGGGACACTGGCTTGATCCAGATCTTATGGTCTTAAGGAAAGAATATCTGTTCACGGAATTTTTCCCATGTTTCTGATATGTGGGGGTGGGGAGCTACATGCAGTGTAAAAGAGAGGAGCTTTACCTCCTTCCAAACTCCTGCTGCACAGGCACGCCAGCCCAGGCCTCCTAGAGCTCCTCAGTCCCATCAAGCCCTTGACATCAACACATGGGGTATGCAGATTGTGATGCTAAAAGTTTGCTTTTCCAGTACGTTAGTTAATATCATTCGGAAATTCTGCCCAGTAACTCTTCAAGGCCGACAAAGGGGTCAGAAGAAGCTCTGAGCACCACAGCCCTTCTTACTCAGGGGCTATTGATTTGCCACGTATAAGTGGGATCCAACTTGCCTTGGCGTATATGGAGCCAACCCTTACTCAAGCTAAAATGCCTCCAAATGAACCTAGTAGGTGGCATGGCACTATCCTCAGCACCACCTCATCTCTAGTGCAGGTTGGAGCTGCAAGTTGGATACCTCATCTGCTGGAGAATTTTCAGGTGGGAGCAGAAAAGAACACACACAGAAAGTCCAGTAGTCCATATTACTTCAAGTATTCTCCCAAAAGTCTCTCAGTAGCTATGGGTAGAAGAGAAATGCCTCAAAATATCTGCAGGCTGAGAATCTTGAATGTTACGTGAATTCAATACTTGAATCTTGCTGGGAACAAATACCAGGAGTCATGTTCAGATAGGAAGAGTGCAAATCCGGGTGACATCTGGACATCTTTTACCAGACTCCCTTTCGCACAGTCTCATTTGACACAAATAAAAAATAAATAAATAAAAATTCATTGGTGAAGAAGCAGATGTGTATTACAGGCTAAGAACTTATTTTCACTTAGAAAGTCAATGTAGAGTTTAGAGTGATCTTTTATGCAGACTCCTTTTTCTAGCTAATTTCATGCTTTCATGAACAGAGGTTAAACAAGAACTCTGTTAGTAGAGTAAACCCTCAGAAGTCACATCAGCGTAGACAGAAAAGTTATTCAGAATAAGAGGTAGTGCAGCCATATGAAAGCAATTTTATGATCTAGAAAGGATGAATTTGGTGTCTCATTTCTATTCAAAACCTGATGCAAAAAAACATTTAGAACAGTTTGATGCAGATAAGTGATGCCCTAAGACAGAATGCATGTTCTGTCATGAAGTTACAGCTCAAAGATACTCCAATAGATATGGAAATATATGCTGATAGAGGCTCACCTCTACATACCACATACTTACCCCCTACTAGGCCAAAGTCATCACGCGTTTACAGTGTTCCTAAACAAAACTTTTACGTATCGCTAATTCTGAAGTTCAGGAGAGTTCACGAACAATTCCAGATTACAGCACAAATACATTTTCTCACATGCCTGTTTTATTTCCTTTATAGTTTCCTTCTCAGGAAGGAATTTATATTATCCAGACTTGTGAAAGGTATGCATGAAAAAGAAGGGAGGGATTAAGACAGAACCATGTATGAATGCTTTACTTCTCCATTTGGTTTAAGTGGATGACAAAACTCATGCAGGAATGAGGACATCACAGAGCCTCCCAAACATCAGTATATGCATCCAATCAACTAGCTTCTTTCTAGGACTCACATACATACACAAAACAGAAATAAATAAGCAAAAAGGATCAAGTAAGTGTGTAACACTGAGTTTTTAGAAACAGACCAGACAAAAAGCAACCCAACAAAAGGAAACTGCTGGTTTTCATCCACCTGAAATTTGTTTAGTTGCAGCTTCCACCATCTACCTGTTCCACAGGGCTGGCATGATCAGGTAGAAGCAAAGAGACACTCTTTTTTAGCAGCCCTGAGTTAGTGTTGAATAGTTGTCATACACACTCCAAGAACCAGTTCACAGGTGGCAGGTCTCAAGCAGGCCTGATAACTACAGCCTGAAAACCATCCTTTCAAATCCTTTCCATCTACAGCTCCTCTCTCTTTCCATCTCATTCAGGTTCCCTTTTCAGAGGAAAAACTCAGACCAACAACTTTCCCAGACCAAGACAGCAAGACTTGGACCTCACACCATTCTGCATTCTTGGTAAGTATGCTTTCATACAAAACATAAGTGGGAGGGGGAAACCCCATCACATTAACTCCAAAGTTCTTTTTTTTTTTTTTTTCTCCATTTTATTCCATTTTTCATATAACTACTTGTTTTCTGCAAAGCAAATGTTTCAGCTTTCAAATAACTCAAGCATAGCTTAGGGTTTCTGAACTCCAAAGTCCTGCCTTAGCATGCTTCTACAGCAGGCAGGAGGATTAAGGCATTAC